CCTCCTCATAAACCATAACCAACCCAACATGTCTGCTCGTGCTGTATACTCCTCCGCTCATTCTTCTATTCTCGTCCTGGGAGATAGTCTCCTCAATTCCCTTATGTGCTGATTACCTTCTTGTGCCCTTATCCTCGTAGAGAGGCTGTCTGTTAACAATGCGTCTCAACGCTTCTCTGGCGTCCCTCATCCTCTCACTCGGTAGCTCTCATTGGCAATGTCCGTGCTGAAGAAAGAGGCCAAGGGCGATGCGCCTTCTCCCTCGTCTGCGATTGAGAAGCCAACATTTACTGTATGTTGCTACAAACCCCCCTTTCTGGCTGCCAGCTCTCAGCTCTGTTTCCCGGGTATGAACAAGGACCAGAGAAAGCTAACCACAGGCCGCATCCATTTTAGCCCACCACCCTTAAAGCTCCATTCCTCGAGCAATTCACTGATGACTGGGAGACCCGGTGGACGCCCTCCCATGCCAAGAAGGAGGATTCGAGTTCGGATGAGGACTGGGCCTATATTGGAACCTGGGCTGTTGAGGAGCCGCATGTCTTGAATGGCATGGTGGGCGACAAGGGCTTGGTGGTTAAGAATCCCGCCGCCCACCATGCGATATCAGCCAAGTTCCCCAAAAAGATCGACAACAAGGGCAAGACGTTGGTGGTTCAATACGAAGTCAAACTTCAGAGTGAGTAGGAAAACAGATTTAGCCTTGCTTGGCTTCCCTTTGCGCGCACTGTTTATTATCGGCTGACGATATATCTGGCAGACTCCCTGGTTTGCGGTGGCGCGTATATGAAGCTTCTTCAGGACAATAAGAAGCTTCACGCTGAGGAATTCTCGAACGCCTCGCCATATGTGATCATGTTCGGACCTGACAAGTGTGGAGTTACCAACAAGGTTTGTTTTTATTGAGTATTTGAAAATATGCAACTACCGAATGCTGATATTTGTTTGATCTACAGGTCCATTTCATCTTCAGGCATAAAAACCCCAAGACTGGCGAGTATGAAGAGAAGCATATGAATGCGGCACCAGCCGCCAAGATTAACAAGCTATCCACTCTTTACACCCTCATCGTCAAACCAGACCAATCGTTTCAGATCCGTATTGATGGAAAAGCTGTCAAGAACGGCACTTTACTTGAAGATTTTAGCCCAGCCGTCAACCCTCCGAAGGAGATTGATGACCCCGAGGATAAGAAACCGGAGGATTGGGTTGACGAAGCTCGTATCGCTGATCCAGATGCAACCAAACCCGAAGATTGGGATGAGGATGCACCTTATGAAATTGTTGACACTGATGCCGTTCAGCCAGAAGACTGGTTGGTCGATGAGCCCACTAGCATCCCTGACCCAGAGGCCGAGAAGCCCGAGGATTGGGATGATGAGGAGGATGGAGACTGGACGCCGCCTACCATTCCCAACCCCAAGTGCAGCGAAGTGTCCGGTTGCGGAAAATGGCAGCAGCCGATGAAGAAGAACCCAGACTACAAGGGCAAATGGGTCGCACCCATGATCGATAACCCCGCCTACAAGGGACCGTGGGCCCCACGTAAAATCCCCAACCCCGACTATTTCGAAGATAAGACTCCCGCCAACTTTGAGCCTATGGGCGCTGTAAGTTTTCCATGATTAACGTCCGCTTTTATCTCAATTTAGAAACAATAAAAGGATATGGACTAACGGCCACACTATAGATCGGGTTTGAGATCTGGACAATGCAAAGTGACATCCTCTTCAACAACATCTACATTGGCCACTCCATTGAAGACGCGGAGAAGCTCAAGGCTGAAACCTGGGACCTCAAACACCCAGTCGAGGTTGCGGAAGAGGAAGCATCCCGGCCCAAGGATGAGGAGAAGGAGGCAGGAACCTCGTTCAAAGAGGATCCCGTCCAGTACATTCGCAAGAAGATCGATCTTTTCATCTCCCTGGCTCTTGAGAACCCGGTCGAAGCCGTCAAGACTGTTCCAGAGGTAGCGGGTGGTCTGGGCGCTCTCTTGGTTACTTTCATTCTCATTGTTGTTAGTGGGATTAGCCTTGGCTCCAGCTCCTCTCCTGCTCCCAAAAAACAGGCTGAAAAGGGTAAGGAGAAGGAGAAGGCGTTAGCCTCCGAAGCTGTTAGCACAGGGGCGGATAATGTGAAGGGTGGAGCTAAGAAGCGGTCTACCAAGACTAGCGAGTAAGTTCCAAGGGTTTATTTTATATATTTTTCTTTAATTTTGTGATACCCACCTGAGGGCGGAAGGAACTTGACGACGACGAGGGTGGAAGGATTGGAACACGACAGACAGCAACCCTGACCGTAGAATCACGGGTTGATGGCATCAGAATGCCAATCAAGCCAACGAATATCATTACGGAGAACGAAAGAAGAACAAGGAGAAAAATAAGGTGGAGAAAATGGACACAGGAAATTAAAAATATATGACCCCGAGCCCAAAACAACCATATGGAACATGAAAGAGGAGGATAACTCCTGAAAATATCATAAAATTCGGCAAACACAAAACTCAAAGCCCTTACCAGAAGTACCTCTTGACTGCTCCTAAAAAAACAAAAAAGAAAAAAAAGAAAAAAATACAGGACATGCTTTCAGGTATTTATTTTCCTGTCATTGGTCATTTCTTTTACTTTGTGGGTTTCATCTTTTTGATCTGTGCCCATTTTTTCCTCTGTGTTGTTAAAATTCAAACAATGTAAAACATAATTTGATATTTTATTGTTCTTCAAGAGTTTATTTCCTCTTTTTTTTTTTTTTTTTTTTTTTTTTTTTCGGTTAACCATTATTAACTGCATCCTCTTTTTGCTTTGCCATAAGTTGTCTGATTTTTTTTTTCTCTTTCCCAAATCATATACTTTTTACATTCTCACGGCAGATCAAACAAATATCCCGGTCTCGGTGGG